CGGAAAAAGTTTAGCAAGGTGGCAGAGAATATTTTTTCTGAGAGGATTTGGGACATAAAATGTAAGGCTTTTCTTAAAAAACCATTGAAAGGCGACATAGTCTCAGCACAGGTAATATGTAAAAAATATGTGAATAATTATTTTCCTAATATACACTTTACTAATATACAGTTATTTAAACTCTTTTAGATGATCTTAACATATATTACTTGAGATTATTACACGCAATTTTAATTCCTCATACCAAGGTTTTTCCTGCCAAATATACGATTAAAGATTCTCAAGAATCTTTCACCATGCCTGTAACACAAGCAAGAGATGTACATTACAGCCTTTCATAATTGTAGTTGGAAAGGAATTTGAATATAACATGTTCTACGTTTGCTTAGGCGACATCAAATTGGTTTCGAGTCATACGTTGAAGCAATACAATTTTGCTTTAAGATAATGCATACGCTAAATTTAAAAAATCCAAATGAAAGCGTTTCATTTTCGACTTTTATACAGAAATTTCTTTTTGACATTCAAACACAATCAATAGTAATTCCTGTAGTGGACACATTTATGAATGATTTGAATGACCGCATTTAAGAATGTAAGTAAGTTTTTTCTAATACTTTCCAATATCTAAAGTTTGTTTTGCTTCCTGAATGAAATGAAAAATTAAACAATTTTGCTTGTTTTTCAAATTTATATTTTTTTTGTGTTAAATTAGTTTAATATACAAACGAAAGTTTGGAAAGTAGTTAAAATTGTATTATTTATCATTTTATCCTTTACTAACTAAAAATTAGAATATTTGATATAAAATTTATTGCAAGCAGCAAGCAAAAATTTATAAAGGAGTTTGAAAAATATTTGTTTTACTTTCTTAAAAATGCTTTTATTACTGAATTATTATTATTGTATTTCGATTCTTTTAATTTAAGCAAAAAAATTTCAACTTGTCAATTAAATAATAAAATATGTACATACATATTTACTTTTGATTATTAAACTTACACTAAAATATGTAAAAATTAAGAATAAAAAATTAAATTCCTAAAAAAACATATACACCTCCACATTATATTTCAACTTCTATCATTCGAAAATTTTAATATAAGCTTACTCTAGAAATAAGTGTTATTGTAGTTTTATTTTGAAATATATTATGTATGTTACTTTATAAAATATGTAATATAAAATACTTTTTACATTTTTAGTAGAACAAAGTATGTATACATAAGAAGATTTTATAGTGGTAAATAAATATTATTACACAGAAATAGTAGTAAACACGTTTTGTAAACTTTAGCTTGCATAACAAGTTTTTATTTTTTTTATAAACTTATAGATTTTCAATCGCTATAACGTCAGTCTTAAATTTAAGATACGATTTATTAAAAAAATTAAATCAACATTTCAATGTAATTACAACTAAAAATCATTTCAATATTTCTAATTTAAGTATCAGCAAATCTAATCACCCGATAATTTAAGAAAGAAAATAAATTATATGCTCGTGTGAATTATTATATGCGTGTGAATTAGAAGTGAGTTAACTTTTTTTTTATTTAAAAAATAGTTTTGTATCAATGTTAATCTATGAGTTGATATATGCTAAAAAAACTTGTCTAACTATAATCAAGAAATAATAAAATAAAAATTTTATTTTATAAATTTAATAAACAAAATATTAGGTTTTAAATTTAATTTTAAATAATTGGTTTTAAATTTTTAAATTTAAAATTGCCTCAATTTCCCTGTGTGAAAGTGAATAATACTGATATTGCTAACTAATCGGATTAATGGGAAACATTTTTGTAAAAAGTTATAGAATACATGTGCGATAATTGATCACAAATATTTGTGATTTTTAATTTTTGTTTTATAGTGAAATAATTCATTACTTTTCAACTTAAATCTTCAATATTACCTAAGAAAAAAGGTAATATTTTACCAAAGATTCTTAGTTTAGTTGCCTAAGAAAATAGTTACTTTTCAAGTTTTTTAATCAAATTACCGAAGAAAAAAGGTATTTTTTACCAAAGCATTTTAGTTAAGTTACCTAAGAAAATAGGTAATACCAAGAAAGGTGACCAATAGGTAGTACCAAAGAAATTTAGGTGATTCACCTAAGAAAATGGTTAATAAATTACCGATGTTTCTTAGGTATATTGCCAAAGTTTAATGTTGATTTTTACCAAAGTTTTTAGGAAAAATTAACTTAGACTTAGTTTAGGTTTTACCTTAGACAAAGTTAAACTACCTAAGAATTTCGGTGCATACGTCAGCCATTTTATGACGTCAGCAAGTATTACCTAAGTTTAAGTTAAAAATCTTAGGTAAAATTTTTGTAGCCACTTAGGTAATTCGCTTAGATGATATAACAAAGTTTGATTTTCTACTTTAACGAAGAAGCTAAGTTAAAGTAACATATAACTTGGTTAAATTTTAAAATTTTTTTTTACCTAAGTTTTCTTAGCTATATTAGCAAAGATCTAAGTTGGCTAGTCTATAAATTTCTTAGGTGTGTTATACTCGATTCTTAGGTGATTTTACGTAAGTTTTTCGTTCAGTGATATTATCTATGATTGAGTTAACAAAAGTTTTTTGAAAAATTTTAATAGTCGCAATCGAATATATTTTTCTCTTGCAAGCAACATGATGGGTCACATTTTGAAGTTAAGTAGGCCACATGCTGCCCATGGGCCGCATTTTTCCGGCGACTGGGAATTAAAAATGGCTAAAATTTTTGTTTGGAACTAATTATCAAATCTTAACGGCTTCCGAATATAGGAATTTTAACAAATTTTCGCGACATTTTTACACGCCAGGGCTTTTTTTCAACATACCACTTGATTATGTGTTTTATGTAATTTCGGAATACATATTTTATTTTTGAACTTTAGAAAAAATCAAATGCTTGCAAGCTTTTTTGATTTAAGTAATTAAATATGTCTGTGTTAGTAAGTAAAATAAAGATTTATAATTTACATTAATTAAATTTTTTCTTTTGTTCGAAATATTTAGTATAAAACCAAAGTGAAAAAATAATACTAAAGTTTTTTATGTAAATATGTTATGTAGTTGCAAAAAAAAGGGAATTTAAAAACTTTTTTTTAACACAATTGTTTTATGTATTTACTATTTTTGCTTTACTTAAAATGTTTTGTTACCTATATTTTATTATTCTAGTTTGTAAGAACCTGAAATTTAATTTTACTTTATTTATTATTTAAATGAAATTAAGTAAATTATGTATATATTTTGTATTTGATCATTTTATTTCTCAAACATCCCAAATTATAAAAATACATTTCTTATAAAATACATTTCTTAACAAAAAGTACGATGATCAATTTCCAATACACCGTGTGAATACATTAGTAAATTGCGTATTCTGGAGTCTCGCACAGCAATTAAAAACGTTCCAATCAGTATAAACCGATTGAATTATATCCTGCACCTTTCGTTGTTGTATAGCAATTAATCGAACTTGTGAAACCATTCCATAGAAACTTCACGGATATGTCTGACCTATAATTGGACACACGACTGCCAAGTTTCATGAGTATAACTTTCTTATTTTTCCAAATATTTAAAATTTCTTTTGGAGTTGTATGGCGGTCACCCGAACTGGTGCAGCTGTCCGATCAAAATTTTTAGAGCATGTGTAGAATATACTTTGACACACGTATGCAAAAATTTTATATTTACTTCTGTGTTAGTTTTTAAAATATTTAAAATAAACTCTTTGAGTTGCAGCTACCCGAACCCGTTCTCTGAATTACAATAGCGTTCGTCCTTGGCACAAAAGAAACAACTCGTTCTTTATTCGTTTTTAAGTTATCGTGCGATCGGACGGACGGACGGACAAGTCTAAATTAATGTAGAATTTTACGCTAAACAAGAATATATATATGTCCAAACCGCAGATGACTCCTTCAAGTAGTTACAAACTCCATACCAAAGTTAATATACCCTTCACAAAGTGTAGGGTTTTCTTTGTACCGACCGTATTGTGTATACAATAGGTAGGTTATGTGATGGCAACAAATTTTGCATATCGAGTTTTCAGTGGGAATGCACTTCTTCATAGTAGAGAAATGTAAGTAAACTATTTTTAGCAACCTGTCGGTCTGTCGATCTGTCAGTCTGTCGGCCTGTCGGTCTGTCGGTCTGTGTGTGCACGCGTGTATCTCTAGTTCGGCTGAACAGATTTTGATGAAATTTTATATGTAAGTTTATTTCGACCATGGCACGGATTGTTCAACTTTTGGGATATATCAGGCCTCGCGAACTGCACTTTTTAGCGGGCCCGTTTTACATTTTTGACCGTTTTAAAGAAAATATTCAACCGATTTGCTTGAAATTTTATATATAAGCTCAACTCGACCGTCCGCAAAACTTCCTAACTTTTGGAAGAAATCAGGTGTCAGCAACTAGACACTTACTACGGGCCAAATATACATTTTTGCGTATATAAAGAGAAATAATCAACCGATTTCATTGAAATTTAATATATAAATTCTTCGTACTAAAACAATTAACATATAAATTTCTTGTCCGATTTTACATTTTGCACCATATCTACGGAACGAATTGATGGAATTTCTTGAAATTTGATATTTGAGTTCTGGTTGTTACCGAAAGTAACTGGTGGGCATTTCAGGGAATTCGGGTAAAACAAAGCGAAATTATACTAGGAGCCAAATTTACATTTTTCTAGGTATGTTAACTATAAAGTCTCAAAATTGGAAATAAGTATTTAACAGACATTTTTATAATATTCTGTAACATTTACCCCTAACTAGACAACACATTCCGGTCGGTTATGTGCTGACCACATCAGATTTTTTGGACTCGCAATAGCAGCGACTTTTGCCTGGCGAATTTTTTTTTTCCTTATGCTTAGACTATTTATTCGCTTTAGCAATCATAATTACCTTAAGACCTTATAAAATTGTGGGTTTAAATTTCATTATTAATATATTTGATTAAAACTAAAATTATATTGTTAAATTTTATGGTTTATTATACTTTGTATTAATAGGATATAAATTTACAATTTTTATATATATATGTATATTAAAAGTGAGTTTAGGATTTCCAAAATATTATAATTTACAACATTAAAATAATACATTCGATATAAAAAAATCAAAATTTTGCCACTTTAATATTTTCCTTGATATTTTCAATTAACTTTCTAGGTTGTTCATTTTTTTTTTTGTTTTTTTTTTTGTTAAGAAAATATAATAACGGGAACATTTTATTTGCTTATTAACCAAATATCTTTGAAATTTATATATGAAAAATGTTTGTAATAAAAAATGCTTAACTACAAACAAGAGTAAAGTGCTATAGGATTGAAACGTTATAATTACCAAAATGAAGATATTTTATTTGTTCTCAATTTAAATTTCTAATAAAATCTAATACTCGTTGATGCGAACGATCAATTAATATCCTATATAAAATTTTTTTAGCCGTAGACTGCGACTAGTAGTGAAACCAAAAATGATTTTTATATATGTATGTATAACTATAGTTTTTTAAATTTCCATTAAGAAATGTCCAGATTTTTTTTTAAAGATTACTTTTAATTATAATAATTTGCTTCTCATGTTGATAGTGATAAATATTTTAAATATAATTTATAGCCTAACATATTTTAAATGTAAAGCGAAATACGATTTTTATACAATTTAATCTGTTTTACATATGTATATATATATTTATATTTTATGTACGAAACTTACATTGAAGTTTATATGAATGTATGTACATATATGCATATGCATGTATATATAAATTTTTATAATGCTAATTAACAAATGCTTTTTGTATAATGCATATTACCTAAATTTATGCGACGACTTTTGCATCAACATACATTTCAAACGTCAGCCAAGCAAAAGCCGTCGTTTATAAACGACTATTAATAATAAAATCATATACCTTTTTGCATGTATATATATGTATAGTTATATCTTTATAAGCAAGTATATATCTATGAGAATTTAAAATATATATTAATATAATTTATATAATAATTCACATACAATTAAAGGTTCTTTTTCTTTGTATAAGTACATACATTGGCTTTATTTTTCAAAATAACAACATATACATACATATGTACTTTGATCTGAATTCATATACCTACTTTTTTATAAATATATGTACATATATGCTTATATTCTTATAATTGTTTCGAATATATACTATTAATTACATTACTATTAATGAAATGTGACATTTTTTTGTTTATTTTTCGTTATTGCTTCTTATCGAAAATTTCTAAATTTTTATAACATTTATAGTTCCTATAATTGCTTACGTAAATTTCTATTATAACTTTGAACTGTGCAATTTCTAAAAATTACATAACATATTATCATATACATAAACATACATATGTATGTTAACAGATTTGATAAGTACATATTTTATATCTATATTACATGCTTGTATAGAAGTACTGATATATATACATACATACATTCATATATATTAATTACAAAATTATTTATACAGATATAATATGTATGTACATTTGCGGATGTTTTTTAGATTTTGTAATCTAAACATTTCAAAGCCGGTAAATATTTCACACAGACATATTATAAATATTAGCGTAGACATTTTGTATATTTTATATATTAAAATAAACTATGGACTTATTCATATTTTGTTTCCGTAACATTTTAATATGACTTCCTTCGTTTGAGTCATTTTGCGTATAAAATAATATAATACAATTGAATATACATATGTATGTATGTATGTTTTACTTAAAGTTAAATGACCATAAAGGTTTATTTTGTACGTTCCTACAAAGAGCCCACGCGATTTCTTTCAATTTCAAAAGCTTTTTCCAAGTGGTTTTTTATTCTTTGGTAAAAATCTCAAGCACCCTGTTAGAAATATTTATGAATTTTGCATTGATTAATATTTTCTATTAGTAAAAATAGCAAATCTGTAAATTCTGTACATTATTTTAAAACATAAAAGAAGCACAATTTAAAACAATTGCATATGTATATATTACATATGTTCTTATATATATACACGTACATATATTTCATTAATAATGATTATGTATATTCTACATTTTACGATAATACCCACATACATACATACTTACATATATGTTTATTATAAAATTCCTCACGTCTGAATTACCCTTAATCTTAAAAAATTTTACTTGAACAAATTAGAACTCGTGAATTACTTGCAGAATTATATAATAACATAGTTTTACCGCAATTTGTAGGTACATTACGTATGTGTATGTAGGTATGTATGCTTAATACACACCACATTTAACGTATTGCCAATGCACTTGAATCTATACATTTACTTTCTTCTTTCTTTGAGTGTATATAGAATAGAGGTGTTCTTTATGAATAAATCAAAGTAATTTGATTTATTTTTTAATTTATATAAAAAAAATGCAAAACAAAAATAATTTTAAAAAATATTTAACAAATATTTGCTTAAAATTTGTTTAAAACATAATTAATTTCCGTAAAACACTATGTTATGATCAATCCAAATATACATACATATGCATGTTCTTAGGTATGTGTATATGCTATCTTGATAGGATTTTTAAACTAACAAAAACATTATTTTATTTTAGTTACCTCGGAAAGACTTTGACATGTTTAGTTCACAAACAACTTTGATTTGAAATTTGAAGTAATTTTTCTATATTTTTTGCATTTTAAATTGAAATTTTTATTCTAAATATTTTATATAATCATGTACATATTATTTTCAATTTTCATATTACATTTCGAAATTCTTAACATAGTATTATTTATTATTTTTTCTAACTCAGAATAAAATTTTAACATTTTTATAATTATAATAATGATTTATACTGGACACACTATTATATTATATTCGAACATTAATGATACAGCAACAAAGACAAAATATAACAAAAACATTGTTAAACCTAATCCTTTATTCATTTTCCAACGGAAACATGCTATTGACATAACTACAAATAGTAACATCATAAACAAGATAGTGATAGAGCAAACCATGCCATGAGAGTTAACTTCGACTGGTGCTTGATATATTATACCATACAAAAGCCATGGAACTGGTAATCTAAAACAAAACAAATGAAATAACACATAATTTTGTTGTATCAAACTAGTCATTAAAATAAACAGAATTGACGTTATGTATAAATGTTATGCGAATTAAAGTCTGTCTAAATCAATTATTATAGTAGTTATTATTCCACATAATTTAAATTTTGTGGCAGCAAAAAATACACAAACACATGAATTAGTTAAAAATTAAATAAACTTGGGTGAAGCCAATTGTTTGTAATATAGTACTTTCCCTTCAACAAGTGAAAACTTTCCCTTCAAATGCTTTTAAAAGCAGAATTTTCACTACTGCTTTTAAAAGCAATCAATGCATATTACTTTTTTTAAATTATTTTCATTTATATATGTATGTACGAATGTATTTCAAAGATTGCATACATTTAGAATGCGCAATGTACGTAATATTTGAAATAAAACAAAAAAAAAATTAAAGAGACATCAACATAATGCTAGAATTTAAGGATTAATTGTGTGAGTTAAGAAAAATCATTATATTTTTTAGTGGCATGGAATTTTCTGTTAGCTTTCTGTATTAATAGAAATTTCGGAAAATTTGCAGGTTTGGAAATATAAAGTGCCAAAAGTTGAAATTTTACAAATTTCTAGGGATGATAACTTGAGAGGAGGAGGAGGTGGAAAAATTTTTTTAACGAAATTAACTGTTTATTAGTATCTAAAAGGTGCTACATTTTCAGATCCCAACAACGTGAGGTTTAGAAGAAAAATAATATCAAAAATTTGAAAAATAAATAAAGTTGGGTCAAACCAATGGTTTGTATTGTAGCACTTTTCCCTTCAACAAGTGAAAATTCTGCTTTTAAATACAGTCTATGCATACTTATCACGCTATTAAAATTATTTTCATTCATATTTAACTATTTCTAGGATTGCATATATTAAGGATGATGCATTCATGCAGTCTTTGAAATAAAGCAAAAATTAATATAAAGAGGAGTTAACATAATGATCGATTTTAAGGGTTAATTGTGTGAGTTAAGAAAAATAATTATATTTTTTAATGTCACGGAATTTACCGCTAACTTTTTATGTTTATAGAAATTTGAAAGCGTTTGCGGTTTTGGAAATATAAGGCACCAAAAATTCAAATTTTACAAATTTCTAGAGGCGATAGCTTGAGAGGGGGTGGGGATGGAAAAAAATTTTCTTCTAACGAAATGAACTATTTGTTAATGTCTATAAGCCCCCAAAATTTCGAGCTTCTACAGGCTGGGGTCTAGAAGAAAAACGAAATCAAAAATTTGGAAAAAAAAAGACTTTAAATAACGGTAAATTTGAACTGGCATTTTGTTTTTCTAAAGTTTAAATATAGTATATCGCGCTAGGGGAAGCAAGCCGCTGCCTTTATGCGTTTGCAAAATTTCAAAAAAGCTTATGGTTTCATTGCAGCAAATAGTTAAAAAAGGCCATTTTTAAGGTTTTGGGGAGGTATAACTTCTAAAGGGGGTGAGATAGGTAAAAATTTTGTTCTACGGAAATAAGTTTCTAGTAAAGATCTATGTACATACAAAATTTCAGCTTTCTATCTTCAAGGGTGTAGAAGTTTTGTAAACAGACACACGGAAAGACGGACGGACGGACGGACGGACAGAGTGAAACTAATAAGCACTTTTTTTCAAAAATTTTTTGGAAAAGTGCTAAAAAAACGGATTTTAGATGACGGTAAATTTTAGGGGCCATTTTGTTTTTCTAAAGTTCAAGTATTGTATGGTAGAAGAATAACTTCTTCAATGACTAATCTTTTAAGTCTATTGATTTTGATCTATTATTTAAATAAAATAAAGTTCAAATTAAAAACAATTGGTATACGAGTTTATGTAATAAATTCGCTCAAACACGTAAAAAATTAGAAATTTTAACGCATCCGACCTCTTTTGTCTTTCAAATATAAAAAAATTTTAATTTGAAAAAAACTGCCCTGGTATTAAAAAATACTTCCGAACTGGTTCAGTTGAGTCAACTTCGACATAATTCGTATGTTTTTCCTCAATTTATTTTCTATTGAAATCATTTTTTAGTTAAAAAAATTATGGAAGACTTTTTGTTTGCTTAATATTTTTATCTTTTATTTTCGAATATAATAAGAGAATAAAGGCACTGAATTGCTCCGTTTCATTTTCTTAACTGAAACTTCTAACTAAAATCTTAAAAATATCTTTTGGCATAATTATGCACTTTAATTATAGATCTTGTATAACTAAAAATTTTTCTTTTGCAGATTTATTGGTTAAATTATACCAGTTATATGTTTGTACATAAATGTAACCAATAACAACAAATTATTATTTCTATGCTATTTTTTTTATACTTGAAATAATTTTATAGTATATAAACAAACTTTTAACAATATTTTAGAATTTTAGACGTGCAGATTTCACAGTTTTAATTTGTACGAAATATTTTGTATCAATGTTGAAAACAGCTTAACTTTTAAGAACAAAAATTTTCTAGCAAAACAAAGGAAAAAATTCGTATTTTTGAGGGTTTATCGCACTTTATAATTTTTGTTAATAAATTTTAAATAGTGCATCGTCTTCTGTAAAGTAAAATATTGAAATCATTGAGGTACAGTTTTTCCGTTTCATTTAAACAGGGTCAAAATGAAAAATAAATGAAATTTCAATTCAATTTTTGATACAAAGAATCCTTTTAAAATATTGTATTATTTTGCATTTGAAAACTTAAAAATTTCAATGCATTTTATTATTTAACTCCATTGCTTACTTTAATAAGAAAATTTTTTGTTTTAATTTAACTGATTTGAAATTTCCTACTTGCAACTTAACAGATATGTATGTATGCATCGAAAAAATTTTGCATACACAATTACACAAGTATTTAAGCGTTAACAACGTCTAAGACGTCAAATAAATTCTGAACATAACACAACGCCAAATTTTTTTGTTGATATTTCAGAAGATTATTTAATGTGTCTGATGTGTCATAGATGCCATTTCGAAGATACCCGTAAGATTATTTTTTTTTCAGCTTCAGTTTGAAATGAGCGTCATACTTCCATCACTTGTAAAGTTATGTGAACCATGTTATTTTCAGTACATTTCCAAAAATTTGAAAATTGCTTTAATTCTGTCAGTTTGAGTTCGTCCTTCTGTCTGTGTACAAAAGTTTTACAACCTTTAAGGTTGAAAGCTTCAAGCATAAAAGCACATTTTAATGAAAATATTATTTTTTAACAACTAAATTTTTCTTGGTCACAAGGAAAAAGTCTTACAGCCTTTAAGGTAAAAAGCTGCAATGATACAAGCATATTTATTGAAAATATTATTTAGTTTTATTTTAACTAAATTTTGCTTTGCTACCTCGTTAGTATAACCAGAGTAACAAGGAGAAAGAGGGTAAAAATGAGAGAAGGGGAAATCCCGATAACTCAGAATATAACTGAATTAGAATAAGGCTACAAATGTATAGGGAATGCAATTTAGTGAGCGTTTAACCTAAGCTAATTGGTTGTAATGTATATTTAAAAACTTTTGTTTCGGCACCCTATTTAGAAACTATAATAGTAGCCTTTGATATTTTTAAAGGAACTTACTTTATATACTTTTATACTTCAATTGCAGAAGAATTTAGAATTTCAGTTGCATGCACTTAAAATTCTAAATTTAATCTTAAAAATTTTGCACATTACAGAAACTAACTTTCAAATTTTTAATATCTTACATTTTTCTGTTAAATTTTTTTCAAATTTAAAGTTTTTTGTCAACATTTAAAAAAATCTTAAAACATAGTTTAGTACTTTAAGCACACTACGATTGTCGAACGTGCTTCTTTTTTAGTGAATCGAACATAATACATTCGAAGATTTTGTAGTTTTGATTTATGGAAAATGTATTATTTTAAAATCTAAGTTAATTGAATTCTCGAAAATTCTCATTTTTACCAGTCTAGTGCTGCGGATGTCGGTTAGACACCCATGCAACACCCTTTCACTAAAGTACACCCTTTCACTTCATTTAAATTCTAAAGTAAAATTTAAAAAAGTATATATTAAAGAAGTAACGAACAGTTAAATCAGTTTTTTTTTATTTTCGTGTATAGAATCTTACCCTACTGTGACATCAAATATATTACTTCCAACAGAGCTTGAAACTGCCATATCCCCAAATCCTTTTCTAGCAACGATGACAGAAGTTATGAGATCTGGTATGGAAGTTCCAGCTGCTAAGAATGTTAATCCCATAACCTTAAAAGTAAGTGTTAAATTGTTTAAAAGTTACAAGTATTTTACTGCAAACCTCTGGTGGTATTTTAGCGGTATCCCCTACGACGTTTGCCCACCAAACCATTAAGTAAGAATACGCAGCAATCCACAAAATAGAGCCTATAAACGTCACTGGAAAGAATTTCTTTCCTTTTGGAGTCCTCGTGTCAGGTAATGTTAACCATAATGGAAATACTATGGGTGCCACCAGAAGATAGGTTATTTGCTTCCTGCCGGTATCAGGCCACGAAACATCTAACGGCTCTGGCTCCTCTTCTTCCATTTCAGCCACCTTAAAAATTCAAAACTGTCAAATTAATGTGTGTTTAAATTTTTAACAAATTATTCATCGAACAGAACATGACTTTTCAGTCATCGCAAATCAGAAAAAATAAGGTTTTATGTACTATGTACTAAGATTGAGTACTTTTAGAATATTTAAATACGTAAAGTGTTTCTAAAGCAAAATTTCTTGAGTTTATTATTTGTTTAATTAAGCGTGACCGAATATTTAAAAACAATTTGAAAAACATAGTTCATCATACTAGAAAAAACTAGACTTGAGTACTAGAAATTTATCGATTTTAATTACTTGAAATATTGTGGCATAATTAGAATCTAGCGTGGTATTCAACTAGAATTTACACCTCTTGCAACTAGAATTCGAGTGCAAAGTGTTAGATGTGGTTAGCTAGTATAGCTGGATTTTATTTAGGCATGCCTAGTACTTTTACTTTGAAATATGGTCATTAAAGCTGGAAAGTAGTTCCTGAAAAAAATTGATTTTTAGAAAAATTTTCTATTATTTTGAAATATTTTTTAATATTCAAAAATTTTATTTCATATTTATAAAGATCCAAAATGAGTATATAAATCTAACGTTGTTTTCGAGATCATAAACTGCGTTCTTCGATCCCTAATTCTGTCCGTAACTTCAAAGATTTTTTTTTTCTCATTTGGGTTCAAGTTTTGAAAGGTATCGATCTATATCAAAATATAAAATGCGAAAAGTTTGTTAAAATTTTATCATTAAAATTAGATGTGAACTTACATCAATTTTTCAACCAAATCATCCACTAATATTGGTTCAAGTCAATTATGAAACGTATACATTTTCAAACTTTTAATATTTTACATTTTCCTATGTGAGTTTTTTCGAACATAAAGATTTATCGAACATGCTACATTTGAAAATTTTGTAATTTATCGAATATTCTTTATATTAAGATCAAAGTTAGAACTGGAACCCTACGCAAATTACCTAGTTTGATAGTTTAACATAGTACAAAATGTACTACGCAAATTATCGAGTTGATTTCCGATTCGCAAATAGTTTAGCAATGTAACAAGATCTCATCGCGACAAATTTAAGCTTGCTATAACTGCAATATGAACTTGTTAAATTTTACTTGTTATAACTGAAGGTTGTATAGAAAAAAAATTAGGTCTCATCAAAATGAAGCTGGAAAGAAGCGAATAGCGCTTCTCCATTATCGTGAATAGAGATGGTTTAGCATTTTATTTTGAACGGTAACTTTAATTATTGTTAAAAAAAAATCTAATTAAATGCACTACATTTAAAAATTTTTTTCCAAATTTAATAGACTAAAATAAATGTTAATTGCCATTAAAAATAAACCATTTATTTTTGAGTTACTCTCTGAGCTTGGTAGTCGTAATAGCAATTTTTTGAATCCCTTGCAACTACATTTAGTCCCTTGCATTTTACTTAGTAGAGTAAAATTTTTATAATATTATTAATTAAATAGTTTTTGCAATTACTAACTTTGCCGATTTTTCCATTTTATTCAAAATGGGAAAACCTTGACGTAACGGTTCATCGAGTGCAAATATTGATTTGATAAAAAATTACTACTTCGTCGTTTGAAAAGTTTTACAGAATTTGATAATTTACGCAAGTGATTATTTTGACATCTGCCATAAAGTCAAGTTTGGTCTTTACTTTTAAATACTACATCTACGACTACTAGAATATTACATAGACATAGTATTACCACTTCATGCGATATTTGCATGCGATGCGACTACCAGAATATCTGTGATAATTTCGAAGTAAAATTCATAAACAAAATAGAAAGTGAATGAAAAGTACCGAAAAGTAAACTAAAGTAGCATTCTGTAACACCATTTTTGATACTTTTGCGTAGGAAAATTTTCGTAAATTTCGATTTACAGTGTCACAATTTTAGATGCGAAAATCGTTGAGAGAAAATAGCACTACGTAGTAAGTCACCTGAATTTTCAAAAATCTCCTTGCTCAGTATAAATATTTAACAATATTTTAGTTTTCTGTTTTACACCATTTCTTGTCATTAACCATAATACATACCTAATGAAAAGGAAACTAAGCTAAGAATTTTTTTTAAAATATTTGTGTTAAATTACAGACATTTTTATGTACTTCGTATAGTTGATATTAATAATGTTTTGTTGTTCTGTAAAATTTTTCTTTGACACGATAGCTATTGTCTACATCACTTTGTAAACTACAGTACATATCAAAGTAGCGATATCACTACAGTAGCGGTTCATATCAAAGCAAATGCTACCATAACATTTTTTATGCAAAAATAACAAATATTATTTAAAGTATAGTAAAGTTTAACTCTAAATAGTTAGCGATTTTTTGAATCTCTTGCAACTTCCCACAACATTTCAAAGCAATTTGCAAACATAACAAATATTATTATTAGGTATATGTCTTACAAAATAGCAAAGTTAACTTGAAGTGATATTATAACATCTCACATCGCTTTCGTGAAGCATGATTTTTAAGTCCTAAAAAATTAAGTTAGAAAATTTAGAGATAATGATATGTATATTTTAAGTTCTAGTAAATATAGTTTAAAAATTTTCAGATTTTTTGTCACGAAAATTTATGTGAGCCCTTTGACTTTTGTGACTATCTTTGCTACACCTTCAACCGTATCTGGGATAAGGGCAATAAGTTTTTTATGTGTTGAATTATTATAGTTATGTGATTGAGGGCTTGTATCAAAAACCAAATCTTTTTAGAGCTTTAAGATAATAATATAATAACTAATTTTTGTAAGTTTTCTTCAGCTTATCAAAAGACCCAAACTTTTCATAATTCTTATTACGGTATAATAAGAAATAATGATTTCTGTAAATTAATCGTAAAATCAAAGGAGAATTAATTTAAGAAATAATCAAAATAAAAATTATTTAAAAATCACAACGTTCATTGTTATCAAAAAAACTAAATAATAGATGATCATGTAACATAATCTGTAAATGATATATATAAAATACATAATTATCAAAAATTACGATAAACAATAACAATAAAAAATTCTTACCGGCTCGGCTATAGTAGTGATTTTCCCATTCGGACGTTCATTCGCTAGTGTTGTTTCTTTCAAGCTAACCTTAACATGATTTGCTGCAGAAGTGGTCGCTTCACCTCTTTGTGGTTTTGTTGCATCTAGTAGTACTTTCAACGAAGCAATTGCATGTAATTGAGTAGCTTTTTCATCAACTTTTCCTAAAATTATAGTAAAATATTTTTTTTAAATCTAAAATATGATGTGAATAAAATAATAAAATACATTTAAGATAAAATCCGTGTTTTCGGTGTTATAAATTGGATAAATTAACATAAAAATATTTTAAATCAAATAGAGAGCAAAAATTATTTTTTACATTAGCAAAAAATATTTTTTATATGCACATATTTTATCTCTATTATAAAAAATATGCGCATATTAGATTCATGTGCACACAAAAATATTGTTTGTAATTAATCGCCACCTATGCATTTTAGCTTTTTCGTGCTGATAGTAAGAATAGTAGTCTAGTATAATGAAAGTGATACCCAAATTCCCTGCAAAGTTTACCAGTTGGTTTTGGTAAGAACTAGAACCCAAGTATCCAATTTCAAGAAATTGCATTAATCCGTTCCGTAGATATGGTAGAAAATGTAAAATCGGCTCCCCAGCTGGGTTTCTGAGCCCTGGCCTTACCAAAAATCTTGTAAGTTAATTGTTTTAACATCCCGAATTTCCAGGGAATTAGTTGATTATTTCTCTTTATATGAGCAAAAATGTAAAATCCGCCAGCAAAAAGGTTCAGTTTCCGAGACCTGATATATGCCAGACTTGATGAAAAGCTCATCAAGCCGTGCTATGGTCGAAATAAACTTACATATAAAATTTCATCAAAATCGGTTCAGCCGAACTTGAGACATACGCGTGCACACACAGACAGGTTGCTAAACATAGTTTATTTGCACGTCTCTACCATGGAGAAGTGCGTTAACACTAAAAACTCAATATGCAAAATTTGTTGCCATCACATAACCACCCTTATTGTGAGCAATGCGGTCGGTGTAAAGGTTTATGCCAAAAAAAGTAAAGAAGTGTTTCTTTATCCTTTCGGATTATTTTAAACCGTTTAAAAATTGATTTTGATATTCAAAAGATTTTCGATATGCAAAATAAATCACAAATTGTCGAAATTAAGTTGATAAAACTGTACCTGTGTATATACAAACATAATATTTTATTCTTAATAATATAAAAAATGTTCATGAAAAAAAAATCAGTTACACAAAACACTAAGTATTGGTCTACATATATCTTCCTTGTTCTTATTTGTAAAAGTTTAACGCAATAAAATAACGCTTTGTTATTAAATTTTGTCCAAACGAGAAAAAATAGAGTTGTCCGTGTCAATTCTGTGGAACCCGTACGAATTTGTAATCCTATGTGCGAGTAAATATACCATAGCTGACTATGGAACAGACTATGACTTTAAATTGTCTTATCACCTTATTAATTTATGCAAAATTTCAGTACTGTGTTTTCAATATTTTCTAAGATATGACCAAACTACTATTGAAGTGAAATATCGCTTGTGTGAAATTTCAATATCAGAGCTTTTTATAGTTTCTGAGGTATAGCCCAACAACTTTTAAAAATGTATGGCAGCTACCAGAAGGTGCCAAGCAATTTCCTTGAGATTTATCAAACACATTGGCCCTACATATATATTTGGTTGTGTGAAATTTCAATGCCACAGCTCTTGCAGTTTCTGAGCTATAGCCAAATAACTTTTGATTGTTATGCAATTACTAGAAGAAGCCAAGCAATTTCAAAGGCTTTTATCAAACACACTGGCCCTCCTAATATATTCGTTTGCCCCAAATTTCAATACCACAGAAAGATTTACAAAAGAAAAGATATAAACAAAAGGCATAAACAAAATAATATTTTTATTCAAATATGTATGGATTAGGATATAGCATTTTAAAATTTTTCGCTCGAACAATAAAAATGAAATTTAAAGTTTGAAATATATAATTTAAAGTATGAAATAATCATACATACATAAATGAAAATGAAATTTTAAGTACATACGTGTATGTATATTTTTTTAAAGCTTGTTGACGAAACAAAATACTCAAAACAATAATAAATGAAGCATTAATATTCAGATCTCACAAAACGCCTTATGTCTTTGATAAAAGCTGACATTTATTTAAGCTTATTTCGATTTTTCGAAATCAAAATATGTGAGATCATTATGTTTTCGATATTGTTTATATCTCGGTTTATGTTACAAATAATATAAAATATCCTTTATTTCTTGGTTTATGTTTCTAATTATAAAAAGTATAAAAGAAAAACGTGATTTTGGTATACAAAAAAATTTTCACAAAATCTTAAAATAGAGCTATTTCGCGGCTAAAAAGTTCCAATGTTAGATTTTTCTGGGACCCTAGAGACAAAACCCTACTTAATGCCTTTTGTCCCATCTCTCTAGTCCTTCTAGAAATACTTCTAGAAGAGATTGGTCTCTATCAACACTCGCTTGTACACATATAATTATATCACAAAGCAAGATTTTTATTATGCTGAGCTTGCGTCCTGTTAACACACGTTCGCATACATTATATATAAATTGCTTCATATAATGCCATATATATCTAGCAGGCCACCAACGTCACAGCGGGAAATAAATTCCAAAATTATATGGAGTTTAAATGGAAGGGGTGCCGGAATTCGCTTGTGTAAAGGAAATTGATATTTTTGGCTCTACTTATTTTTTTAAATTTAAAATAAATCTTTGGAAATTAAATTAAATTTAAAATAATTTCAAAAAAACAGTTTGGTAAATTCTATCTGAAAAATGAATTTAAAAAATATTGAAATTTTTAGCCCATATAACTTTTCTTGTCTTCCAAATGGAAGAGTACTGAATTACAGAGAAAAAGTTTTTATTAAGAAATAGAATTCAAAAATAAATTGAAAAAAAAAACAAAAAAATTAATATTATAGTGTAGATGGCTTTTAAAACTATAAGAAATGAAATGAGAGTTACAAAGAATATTCAAAAATTTCAAAAAAAAAATATAAAAAATATTTAAATCGGTATAGTTCGAAAATATAAAACATTAAAAATTGTTTATTCAATTTTTCCCAATTAAAAATTTCGATAAATATTGAGCTTGGTGGCCTGATAGATATATATGGCATTAGTTTCGAATGTGTAAAATTTTAATTTTTCTAAGATGGCACCCGCTCACCAAACAGAAAAACACATTATTATAATGCAATACTTTTTCTATATATACTATTGTATTAGTATATAGAAAAAGTATTGCATGAAAAAAAACAAAAATGTAGAATGCGAACAGAAAAAAAAATAGAAAAAGAGAATTAGACCAGTATTTCAATGAAATACTTTAATAATGAAATACATAGTTTGATACTGCGATTGTGTATACCTATATTTTTTTTGTTTAATTACAAAAAGTTTTGAATGAATTTCAAAATTATATAATTATTATGAATTTCTACTGAACTGTTATGAAATACAGAATTAAATATAAATTCGTAATATCTACTATCTGCTTAGGTAATATTAAATTAAAAAAATTTTGTTTAAGAATCAAGTTAAGAATTTTATGTTGAATTGACGTTGCGTATTTCACACAAAAATAAAAATAAAACAAGTAAAAACGTTTCAGTCGGTATGAACCGATTGAATTATACCCTGCACCTTTCATTGTTGTATAGCAATTACTCAAACCTGTGAAACCATTCTATAGAAACTTCACGGATATGTCTGACCTATAACTGAACACACAACTACCAAGTTTCATGAATCTGACTTTATTATTTTTCCAAATATTTAAAATTAGTTTTTGGAGTTGTATGGCAGGTACCCGAACCTGCCAAGCAATTCCACTAAAACTTCGCTAATATATCTGACGTATAATTGGACACACAACTGCCAAGTTTCATGAATCTAACTTTATTACATTTCCAAATATTTAAAATAAGCTTTTGGACTTGTATGGGGCCACTCGAACCTGTCAAGCAATTCCACCAAAACTTCAGAAATATCTTTGACCTATAATTGGACACACAACTGCCCAGTTTCATGAATCTGTCTTTATTATTTTTCCAAATATTTAAAATTAGCTTTTGGAGTTGTATGGCAGGTACCCGAACCTGGCAAGCAATTTCACTAAAACTTCGCAAATATATCTGATCTATAATTGGACACACAACTGCCAAGTTTCATGGATCTAATTTTTTTATTTTTTCAAATATTTAAAGTAAGCTTTAGGACTTGTATGGGAGCTACTCGAACCTGTCAAGCAATTCCACCAAAACTTCAGAAATATCTTTGACCTATAATTGGACACACAACTGCCAAGTTTCATGAATCTGATTTTATTATTTTTCCAAATATTTAAAATAAGCTTTTGGACTTGTATGGGAGCCACTCGAACCTGTCAAGCAATTCCACCAGAACTTCAGAAATATCTTTGACCTACAATTGGAAACACGACTGCCGCGTTTCATGAATCTGACTTTATTATTTTGGCGAATATAAAAAATTTGCTTTTGGAGTTGTATGGCAGCCACCCGAACCGGTGCAGCTATCTCATTAAAATTTTAAGAGCATGTGTAGAATATAATTGGACACATGTATACAAAATTTTATATTTGTACCTTTATTAGTTTTTGAAATAATTAAAATAAACTCTTTGAGTTGTATGGCAGCTACCCGAACGTGTTGTCCGAATTGGTTCAATAACAATAGGGTTCGTCCTTGGCACAAAAGAAGCAACTTGTGAAAGGTTGGTGTCGATTGCATTATTCGTTTTTGAGTTATCGTGCGATCGGACGGACGGCTTATCATCAGCTCATGTAGGTAAAAAATATAATGAAAAATGTTAAAACTTATACATAAACTTATTTTTTAAATCAAAAATTTTAATATAAAATTGCAAAATTGTAATATAAATTTAATATTACGAATAAAAGTTTACAAGGATTGAGTTTTCTATTCAAAATATAAGATTTTGCAATGTACAATAATTTAAGTATATGTACATATATGTATGTATGTAAGTAAATATATTTTTACTTTTATTCAAATAAGTTTTGAAAAAGTTAAATTAATATTATTTTTTAGAACCGTTTATAGTTTAGTTTCACTTACGCCGAAAAGTAAATTTTTGGTTGTTAA